GTCGTTCAGATATCTAGACGGTCCGTCCCTCGTGACGATCTTCAGGAGTGAAGTGCTTCCCCATCTGGAGTACTGTCACCCCATCTGGTCCCCGAGATATGCTAGGGACTGTCAGTTGGTTGAAAATGTTCAAAGGAGGGCCACCAAACTGGTGCCTGCACTTCGGCACCTCAGCTACCCTGAGAGATTGGAGCGCCTGAACTTGCCTAGCTTATACTACAGACGGGCAAGGGGGGACCTAGTTGAGGTTTATAAGCATCTCAGGGGGCACTACTCAGTTGAGTGTCCTTACTTGGAGCTGGCGGACGCTCGCCCCACAAGGGGTCACAGCTCAAGATTGAAGAAGCCGCAAGTCCAGAAAACCGTGAGGGCAAACTTTTTCGGAGTGAGGGTTGTAAACTCTTGGAACAATCTACCAGAGAGTGTTGTGACGGCACCAAGTGTGAGCTCTTTCAAGAGAAGACTTGACCAACACTGGAGCGGGTTCAGGTACATTCAGGAGCCGGTGCATGCCCAGTATTTGCCAACAGTGCGTGACAGAGACGTGACCGATCGCCCGGGCGGCTAGCGAGCCGATCTTTTGGTGAAGAATATAAATGAAAAGAGACGTGACCGATCGCCCAAGCGGCTAACAAGCCGATCAGTGGCGAAGAGGATAAAAGTAAAGTAAAAGTAGTAGTGCCGCGCGTCAAACTCTGCGATGGTGTCGCTTGTTGAAAATGACGGAAGCCCTCAGGAAAAAAAATCGCTGCCCGGATGGGCTATTCCCCGTAAAAAAAAATACTTTGTCACGATTGTTTTTATTTATATTCAGTATTTCGACTGCAAGACAATTATGAATAACATAACATGTCGTGATTTAGAATATTTAAATTTCGACCTACTGTAGAAAGATGTTAAAAAAAGGGTAAGTTCATGGTTTGAAAATAAGTAGTGGTCGAGTGGAACACGTTACCAAACATCGTTAACTCTAACATTCTGGGTAGCTTCAAATATAGGTTGGACGTATATATGAGCGATAGGGGTTGGCTGCAAAACGGGACTGCCAAGTAAAAGCAGGTTTCCTCCATTCTTATGTTCTTACTCCGCCAAGACGGTGGCTTATGATCTGGTGCTGCTGCCTTTCTTTGTGACTGGCACTACGACTGCCTGATCTCTTGTGATACATACTGTATTATACTGGATAGACTTTTGGACTTATCGACCAACACATGATTTACTCCACACCCAGCGTGGATAGAAAACTGCCTACATGACCGCAAGCAATGTGTGGTGATTAATGGCACAATATCATCATCTGTACCTGTCACAAGCGGGGTATAGTGGATACTCTCCCCTACAACTGCTGGCTGATCACTTGTCCGCTTACCAGCCAACCAGCGGCGAGTTCTGAATGTGATGGGCCTCACTTTCGGACTGCGCGGTGATTGGCCCGTACCGCCTTCACCTGAACCAATCAGCAGCGCCGCTCACTTCACACCTATCTAGCTAATCAGGCAGAATCATGTACAGGTAAATATCTCTTAGCCTCGCCGTGAAGGCCATTCTAGTCTCCGCTCTCAAACAAGACCTTCTATCAACAAGCTCCCTAGCACTGCATTGTGTGTATATATATATATATATGTATGTATGTATGTATGTATGTATGTATGTATGAGCCTAACAAATACAAATTTGACAACTGGCCACATACAACACGCTACAGGGGTCCCACAGGGCAGTGTATTGGGCCTGCTGTTCTTTGTTTGTTTGTTTGTTTGTTTCATAAATGACATGCCTGACGTACACTCCATACAAATGTTTGCGGATGATTTACCACAGATGCCAGCAACAAACATGAAGCTGAAGCCAGCTTCGGCTTTGAAACCAGAGGCACGACACGGGCATGGCTTCGAATTTTCCTCTTTACACAGATACACTGACTATCGTGACGTTAGAGCTAAGCTGATATCTCATTTTTTCTGTTCCCACGATGACCTGCTTGCCAAGAGATGTGTTCTACAGTCTCAGTGATGTCGCAGCAGTACCCTCCTATTAATATTGGTCTAATAATAATCATAGGCCCAGGGGTTCCTAACCATTTTCCAGTGCGACCCCTGATCATTATATATATATATATAATATATATATATATATATATATATATATATATATATATATATATATATATATATATATATATATATATATATATATATATATATATATATATATATATATATATATGTATATATATATATATATATATATATATATATATATATATATATATATATATATATATATATATATATATATATATATATTCACGGTGTCACGCGTCATATTCGTAATTTCTTCACACAAACACACACTAAACCACGTGTGAAAAAGACAACAAGAGTATTGTTTAAGCTCTCGTATATTTAACAAATCTTCAGAAGCAGATTACATAAATATACAGTCAGAGAGAGCTACCTATTTTCTCTGTCACACCCTGGAGACCTTCACCAGGTAGCTCGGTCAGGTCAAGGTCAATGTAGACCTTGGGTCAGGTCTACCTGACCTGTTCCCGCGGAGTTGGCTGACATTTTTCAGAGGTAGATAGCAGTTAAACCTTGTTTGACTAGTCCCTGGTACACAAATAAACAATTAAAAAAAGGTAGGAACACAATGGTTAGAGACTCGATGAAAATGACTACTAATCAAATGTGACAATATAAGTAGAAGGGGAAATTCTTCAGATAGGTGCGCTCTGGTTGGGTATTATTCAGTTGATGACCAACCCATGACCTAGCACTCAGGTAATGCGGTCAGTGACAGGTTACGGTGAGGTAGGAATTATCTTTACTTACTGGCAGGTTAGGTTAGCCCTAACCTGACCAATTCTATATTGCAACTACATTCACAGTGCTTATGTTTTATTTTCGCTTTAATGAAATTGGTGTATTTTTGTTTCCTGACACATATTACATTCATTAGTTGACTTAATATACCAAAATATAGTGAGGGAAAGCAATTCGTCAGTTTGAACAGGGTTGGGGGAAGATTCTTAAATTGGCTGCTCTGGGGGGGGATAAATAATCCAACAATTGAAACAATGGATAAAATAAAAGTAAATAAATTGTTACGATAAGCAACCTTTTTCAGTCTATACGGAGATTCTAAACTTACCCCCAAGAACAATCAGCTTAAAATTAAGTCGGCTTATTTCAAAACCTTGCGACAACTTAGAATACCATATGTATACCCATCAACATGTCACCCCAGAGTCCGGCAGGGTGTCATTTCTTCAGGTGGGGTTAGGACCCTCCACGGTTGTTAATCTTCAGGCTAGTGGAGTCAGGACCTTCCAGTCAGGTAGGAGGACTACATAATAGTAACTCATGAGACATAAAGGCAAGCATGCTTCCCTGTTGGGCGCTGTAGACGCTTCTGCGCTTACACAAGGATGTAGGGGGAGTACAATAAAAAAAAAAGTGGGCTCAAAATTTTTAGTCATAATCATCAGTCGACCATGGCACGCAATCAATACCTGTACCTTCCAAACTGTCGTCCTACCACTGTTGTGTGATGATTCCTCTAAAGTTATTCGGTGGCTTCAACAAAACAGACTTTTAAAGCGTGAAGTGAAGTATGATACTGTGAACCACTCGGTCAATTTTGTGGCTGTCCACAAATTGCTGTATAGTACCCTTTGTAATATGCACCACAAAGATGCATAACACAAAGGAATATATTTATGTTATCCTAACTATACAAATTATATTCACTGTGGGCTGGGGTGACGATTCTTCAGGTGGAGCAGGCTGGGGTGACAATTCTTCAGGTGGGATATCCCGGGGTGACAATTCTTCAGGTGGACATTCTGGGGCGACGATTCTTCAGGTGATCCACTCTTTCTGTTATTCAGTGCATATATTAATATATCATTGCAATAACAAGTATACGGTGCTACTATAGTGTGCAGTCGGCAAAGATATCTTTAGTCTAACCTGACCTAAGCTAAGTAACTTAACCTAATTATTTAGTAGACCACACGCTATAATAGCTTTCGTCTTTATTCAAGACATCCTAAGGTGCCTCTGAAGATGTCTTGAATGAAGACGAAAGCTAAGGTTCTCCATTGTTTCCCTTTTCCATGTGTGATTTTATCAAGATTTATCGTATCCACGTTTCCATTGTGGATCTACATGAAATATATATATATATATATATATATATATATATATATATATATATATATATATATATATATATATATATATATATATATATATATATATATACATACATACATACATACATACAAGTTGTATAAGGATCTCCTTGTGAGGCTTGTAACGTGTGGTAGCAGGGTTGCCAGATAGCCGTTTCCACGGCCAAATTATCTAATTTGGCCGTAAAAAATTTCACCTGGCCGTGAAAAAATGGATGGTCACGGCCAAACTATATGGCCGCCGAATTTTGTAAAACACGTATTAATTCCTCATCTAGTGGAATTTGAAGAAAAGTCTAGCAGATTTTCAAATTTCACAATGAAAATGCTGTCTCAGTGACCTCACCTAATCAGTGACCTCACCTCTTCACATGTTTACGTGACCTACTGAGCTGACTGATCTTTCTAATTACTACCTTAGTTGTTTGTTCTCATATTTGAGTTGTTCAGGCTGAACGTGTCCAGCATATGGGTTAGCTTCAGAGCTTACAAAGCCATTCCGAGTGCTAGTTTTCAAAATGTCCACTAGTAAATGGAAAGGGTCCTACGACAGTGGCAGAAAATATAACAAACCAGGGGACGATGACGAACTAGACGTTTTTGCTTACGCCAACTAGTGTTATCAAGTTCTCCACCATTATCATGCTCCACCACCATTTCAGATTAAGGTAAATCTTCACTGTAGATTATAGATATGTTTATGTAATTATTGGGCTCTCAATTCTAAGTGAAAATTTGGCTTTATTACGACATTTTAAGTGGATATTGTAGGGGATACTTTTATTTTGTGTGGATTGCAAAATAGCCTTGTGCTTCCCATCCAAAAGTTTTGGCCTTAAGATGGCGTGAAGTTGGCCGTGAAGCTTGTCGTACATCTGGCAACCCTGTGTGGTAGTGGTAGTCGTCGTAACAGAGACTTACTTGTGGAGGAAGGGACGAGTTTGCACTTCAGCCTCGTGGCGTGTACCTGAAGGGCTTCCAAGGCTTAGGATGGCAGGTGAAGCTCCTTGTTGCATGCGCGCTGCGTGGCAACATTTAAGAAAGGCAGACTCTACACTAGGTAATAATTATTATTATTATTTGGAATGGAAATATATCCATACACTAACCACAGAAGCACATAAATATGGAAGTTTGAAGTAATAAGAACATAAGAATTGAGGAAACTGCAGCGGGCCAATTGGCCTATACTAGACAGCCTGGTGGGCTTGTAGTGGATTTCTCCCCTACAAACATGTTTTTAATGACATGTTAACTTTGCTTAGTATTCCCTTAGCAAAGTTGTTTAACATGTCATTAAAAACAGGTGTAGTACCAGAATCCTGGAGGATAGCGAATGTAATACCGATTTTCAAGAAGGGGGACAGATCACTATCCTCTAACTACCGCCCAATCAGTCTAACATCAATAGTAGGCAAATTACTGGAAGCAATCATTTCAAACTCTATTCGAAATCACCTGGAGAAGCACCGATTGATCAATGATTCCCAGCATGGCTTCACAAGTGGACGTTCTTGCCTAACTAATCTATTAACATTCTTTTCATAAGTTTTCGAATCGGTGGACGAGGGGCACAATTATGATGTGGTATATCTCGACTTTAGCAAAGCCTTCGACAGAGTCCCCCACGAAAGACTAATTTGAAAGGTAGAAGCTCATGGCATCAAAGGTGACATCCTTAAATGGATTAGGGCGTGGTTACAGGACAGGAAACAGCGAGTGAGCATTAACGGCACTAAGTCCCATTGGAGCAACGTCACAAGTGGAGTTCCCCAAGGCTCAGTACTTGGACCATTACTATTTATTATATACATAAACGACATAGATATCGGCATTGACAGCAACATAAGTAAATTTGCTGATGACACTAAAATAGGACGTGTTATCAAATCTGACGAGGACTCGGTAAAACTACAGGAAGATCTAAACAAATTTTTCGAATGGTCTGAAAAATGGCAGATGAAATTCAACCTCGACAAATGTAAAGTACTCAGTATAGGAGATGTAAACGGAAACCAGATACCAGATGAACAACGATGCCATAGAGAAATACGACTGCGAGAGAGATTTAGGAGTAATGATAAGTAGGAACCTTAAGCCAAGTAAACAATGTGTTTTTGCTCGTAACAAGGCTAATAAAGTACTTGGGTTCATACAAAGGAGTGTTAGTTACAAGACTAGCGAGGTCATCCTAAAACTGTATCTTGCTCTTGTGAGACCACACCTGGATTACGCAGTTCAGTTCTGGTCACCGTATTACAGAATGGATATAGAATCCTTGGAAAGAATTCAGAGGAGAATGACAAGACTAATCCCGGGCATTAGGAACCTTGAGTATAGAGACAGGTTAAAGCATCTTAATTTGCACTCCTTGAGAGACGTAGAGCGAGGGGCGACCTGATAGAGGTGTATAAGTGGAAGGCAGGGCTAAACAAAGGGGACATTACAAAGGTACTCAAACTATCCAACCAGGAGCGAACTCGTAACAATGGTTTTAAATTAGACAAATTTAGATTTAGGCGTGAAATAGGTAAACACTGGTTTGGAAACAGAGTAGTGGATGAATGGAACAAGTTACCAAATATCATCATTAACTCGAATACGCTGAATTGCTTCAAACATAGGTTGGATGCTCATATGAGCAATAGGGGTTGGGTGTAAACGGGACTGCCCAGTATGGGCCAATAGGCCCGCTGCAGTTTCCTCCATTCTTATGTTCTTATGTTGTCGTTGAGTAGCTGACCCCGCGAATTCCACATTGTATGCCTCGTGGTCTAGGTCAACCAGCGCTGCCCACGGAGCGGGTGTCAACTATCTACCCACGCCTACCTCCGCTATAAAAGACCTGACCTCGTGGTGACCTCTCTCTTCTTCTAGCTACAGCTGCAGCAAGCAACACCTCCTCCTCCTCCGCTGCTGCCTGGCGGCCCTCGCTCCCGCCGGCGAGCCTGGCGACCCACAAGCTGTCCTCCTCTGAGCATCCTCACCAACCAGCTCTCTCGACATCACGCTTGTAACCACGCTGCCACTTCCCAGCACCAAGCTGCATTGTACATCCAATACAACATGTATACAGAGAGCACATTGTGAGTTTCCTTTCTCCATCCCATCCTGAGTGTGAACCAAACATTCCATACCCCACAAATGGTGACCCCCGGAGATTCGCACTCACACAGGATGGAGGAGAAACAGATTATGCTCCCAGTCTTCAAGCAACATGGAAGACTGGCTTATCCACCCAGAAGCAGCTCTCATCAGCTCTACAGCTACTGTCTCTAAACCGCAGGTTAGACACCCTAGAGCAGCACTGCTTCTCTAAGCAGACACCAGCTCCTCTTCCTGCCCTAAGCACCACGTCCTACCGACCCCAGCACACCCGTCCTGCCTCAGACGCCGCCCCCGGCCCAGCAGTACCCCCTGCCGCTCCTCCTGATGCAGCCCCTGCTCCCGACGTGGCCCATGCGCCTGAGTGCGGACCAACACACCCCTCTTTTCTCCCTCAGGTACTCCTTGCTACTGTCCTGCACCCTGCTGCTGTCGTGGACCCAGCTGCTGTCCTGAGCCCTCATCCGCTTCTGCTGATGCAGCCCCTGCTCCTGACCCAGGCCCACACACCCCAGCAGGCGCATCTGACGACTCTGTACCTGCCATGAGGGAAGCACAACATTCATCGCCTCCACACACCCTTTTTCTCCCTCTCTACTCTGTAATGGGCCCCTGTCTCATCAACAGAACATATTATATAAATGGGTCAATACATCTGATATTATATTAAGATTCACCACCCTGTAACTTTCCACTGTCTATGAGTAAGACGTGAGTTGTACACGTGAGCGGGCAACTCTCCCAGGAGGGAGTGGCCCATAGTCAGCATATCTGTAAGCCCGCACAGCGAGGCCCTCACTCTTTAGTCGCTCACAACAACTTATATCATAAGGGCGTGACCTAACGTTTATAATACATAAATGCCGTCCCTTTCTCATTCACTCCTGTACAGTGGGACTTACGGTCGATCTACACTCAGGAAATATATATATACAACCCTTTTATAATAAAACAAGGAACTACCATTTGGGTTTCGTTACTTAAACCCAAATAATAAATATATGTGAACGGCCTGATTAATTGCACAGGCAGCCGATTCAACTCCCACAGATAGTGTGTATCTAGACAGTTGTCTCCTCTAGCGACCGGCTCATCCACACCATCGCCGTTATGGCTCACATGTGGCATGCACCGCCTGTTCTGCCTCACTTGTGCCATGCACCCCTGCAGACAAGTCTCCTACACTGCCTGGAGGGAAGGAGGGAGTATTGTAGTGGATTTCTCCCCTACAAACACTGTTTGTCGCTGAGTAGCTGACCCCGCGAATTCCACAGTGTATGCCTCGTGGTCTAGGTCAACCAGCGCCGCCCACGGAGCGGGGGTCAACTATCTACTCACGCCTACCTCCGCTATAAAAGACCTGACCTCGTGGTGACCTCTCTCTTCTTCTAGCTACAGCTGCAGCAAGCAACACCTCCTCCTCCGCCGCTGCCTGGCGGCCCTCGCACCCGCCGGCGAGCATGGCGACCCACAAGCTGTCCTCTGAGCATCCTCACCAACCAGCTCTCTCTACATCACACTTGTAACCATGCTGCCTTCCCAGCACCAAGCTGCATTGTACATCCAATACAACATGTATACAGAGAGCACATTGTGAGTTTCCTTTCTCCATCCCATCCTGAGTGTGAACCAAACATTCCATACCCCACAGGCTAATACCGTAAAAAAAAAAACTCATCCACTATCTTTTCAAACCAGTGTTTGTTTACCTATCACACCTATATCTGAATGTCTTAATTTAAAACCATTGCTATGAGTTTGCTCCTGGTTGGATAGTTTAAGTACCTTTTTATATCACCTTTGTTTAACCCTGCCTTCCATTTATGCATCTCGATCAAATCGCCCCCCCTCACTCTACGCCTACAGCTAGCATTTCTGAAGGCTTGGCATTACCAGAGTAATTATCATGCCACCTTAACAACATCAACCTAGAGAAGTCGACTTGTGAAAGAGACCTAGGGGTACTTGTAAGCCCGGACCTACGGCCCAGAAAACAGTGCGTTAATGTTCGAAATAAGGCAAACAGAGTATTGGGTTTTATATCTAGAAGTGTAAGTAAAAAGAGTGCAGAGGTCTTACTGCAACTATATCTTGCGCTAGTCAGGCCGCACCTCGATTATGCAGTTCAGTTCTGGTGCCCCTATTATAGAATGGATATAAATTCACTAGAGTCGGTGCAGTGAAAATGACAAAAATGATTCCGGGACTTAGAAACCTTCCATATCAGGATAGGTTAAAGAAACTTAACTTGCATTCCCTAGAAAGACGAAGAGTGCGGGGAGATATGATAGAAGTATGCAAGTGGGTGAAAGGAATCAATAAAGGTGATATAGATAAAGTTCTTATAATATCCGAGCAGGATAGAACACGGAACAACGGATTCAAGTTGGATAAGTTTAGGTTTAGGAGGGAGATAGGATGGAACTGGTTTACAAATAGGGTGGTGGACGAGTGGAACAAGCTTAGCAACTTTGTAGTAAGTGCTGGAACGCTGGAAAGTTTCATGGATGATAGAGAGTGGTAGTAACTCTCGACAGGAGCTGCCATGCACAGGCCAACCGGCCTATTGCAGACTCCTTATTTTCTTATGTTCTTTTGTAAGCCCACACTCAAAGTCACTCATGATACTAATTGGATTAAATACAATGTCTTGTTTGCCCATATGATCCTATAGAATTAAGAAGATTCGTAAATATGTATATTTACTCTACACAAACAGTACACAGCTGTGAAAAAATATCCACGGTACACTTCATGACTAGTAAACTGAGTGGACAACGTTCGTCCATAAATACTGTATATTGTGAAGTGCTCATTGTGTTTAAAATCTCACTGGTGCTGAATGTGATGAGGTCGTCATCTTGGTCCTCAACCAGCTTACCTCTAGTGTTGCTTGTCACTGATTGTTTTGTCCTTTATATGTATAACCTTCATGAATTATATTAGTGCCGCAAA